ATATGCAAATATGAGAAGTTTTAGACAATGTCTATTTTTAACATTTCCGAATTTGAAATCATCGGGAGTAAAAAGGCAAAGTACTCACAAAAAGTTCGCCGTAGTTATAATACAAATGATAGACAAACCATCCCCATAATAGGCCACTCGTCAAAGTTATCATCAAATTTTCCAGTCGCATTGTACCCTGCGGAGAAGGTTCCCGATAATACCACCTACAAAAAACAAAATGGAACAAAAAGTGAAAGCTGTTTTTCTACAGAACAATGTAAAAAGTTATAAAAAGTTAAAACCCCCTATTTATTCGTCCTTTACGAGAGGCTAAATCATTTGAGTAGCAGTTCGAATGATAAAAAATGTTAGCGGCAAACAGCCGCTGGCAAGGCTGCCGACGACCCGTTCTTTCGAGAGATACTTACAAACAAACTGATGATAAATGTAATATTTGTCATCAGTTTGCTCGTAAGCATCTCTCGAAAAAAACAGTACTTGCACCCACACCTCCTTTATGCGCCTACAGCGGAAGAATTAGGTGATGGACGCTCGCCAAGTAGGCTGGAAGGCGAGTCGGTGCGATCATGCCTTTTTACACTATTTCGTGCTGTAACAAGGTCGCAAGGAATCACAGCAGCTAGGTTTGTGATATACTGGCCCCGATAAATGGAAGATTGCTGGTGCGCGAAAAAGGCCCAACAGAACAGATGAATTTGAATTTTTTTTAGCCGCACATGAGTAAGGAGCATCCCCTCAAAGTTCCAGCTTTTCAGCTTTCCTCGCTCCCGAGTCAGCAATTTCCCCACCAAAATTTTCAAGTTCCCGTATGTGAGTTCCGAGCAGTTCTAAAAAGCCGGATTTGAAACTTCTTGGCCATATATGAGTACGGAACATTCCTTTAAATTTTTAGTCTCCCAACTTTTCTTGTCCTTGAGTTAGCAATTTTCTCGCCAAAACTTTCACGCGCTCGTACGTGAAGCCCAGACGTACGAGAGTGTTGGTACCGCGGTCCTAAGAGAACCAACTGACAAAATTTTGGCGCCGGAGCTTGCTTGGCTGCCGAGTTGAAACACCCGGGCAAACGAACACATACACAAAAATATACACACACCGACAGGGTAGTTACAATATGCGTTTTTGCGCTGCACGGCAAAACCGCATAAAAAGGGACGAGAATTACAAGAACTTCGCAGAACCAAGAATTACAGATGGTATTCCAAACAGTTTAGAATGCTGACAGGAAAGTGAAGGAAAGAAATGCGTAGGAGGAGGAGGAAGAAAGTAAAGGAGGGATGAAGGCGGTAGAATGCTGTTTCGGAGAATGAAAGTTTCATAAACTTGGTCCCAACGGCAAAATCCAAAAAGGTCTGCGGTGAAGTCTTTTCCAATATGTTGTGCTCTTTCCTACAAACATGCTATGGCTTCTTTTGAAAGATTCCATGGATACGGTGTATGTTGGATTATTTCAAATCCAATATACTCCATTATTCCAACAGAATTTATAAAATTTACCTCATACAATAAGGTAGCCTCCATTATAGTGATCCTAGCAACTTAACAGAAAAGAGCCACATCAGATAACAAAGGGTTGTATAAGCTATCCTGCTTGGTTCTAGTACCGGGCAAACTACAAAAATGTTTCCGTAGCAATAAATATCCGAAAATCCCATCTCTTTTACAAGCTACCTCCACACCTGAAGAAAGAAGTTTGATACAGAAAAGTGTTAGATTTCCGAGCAATCATCATTTTTGTCCCAACAGTTGCATGCAGTTTTTTCATTAGTCTCTACAAATAATTTTCCATTTCATTGTTTTTTTCAGGCATGGAAAAATGATAAAAAGTGAGGAGCTGTAAATCAAAGCTGTGAAGTGGTAAGCATAAACAGTAAGGGACGGAAAAACCGGAATACTGCGTGGTTCCAAAAGATTTGCGGAAAACACTGAAAAAAATCGAGCATGAGGGAAAACCCAGTTGACCGGATGACAAGCTCAGAACTGAGCAGGATAGAAACCTTCTCAGCTCTATTAATGAGGCGAAAGAACACAATATTATAAAACGGCTGAAACAAAAGCACAGAAACTGTGCATCAAACTCTATGAAAAAAAATACTAAAGTTTGGCATCGCCTTTTTGAAATCCATAAGGTAAAATTCACATTTGTCTCGGCGGATCACCAGGTTCACCAAGATATGGCTTATCAGTTGTATTTGTTATGGGATCATCTTCAGCGCCACATTTCGTACCCACCGCCACTTCTGGACCTTCTGCATCCTGAAATGTAGCAAAAAAAAATTTCTTCAAGCTAACTCTGTTTTTTACCCCGAATAATTCAAGGTGTTCTATATTTTACTGTCCACGAATGATGGATGTTATTATGAAATACAGTTATTCCAAATATTCCAAGCAAGGAAGATGAAAAAAAGAATAAATAAATAGCGGAGCGCACCAGTGCAGCCGGTGCGATCATGCATTTTGTGTAATTCCGTTCGCCGAACGATTGCCTGCTAAAGATTTTCACTGCTTTGCACTTTGATCTGTGCAAAAGTAGTTGAAATACTGCCTGGTTTTTAAGTTGCGGAATTTCCCACTAAAAATTTCACGCACACGAGGTAATTTCTCTGTCAAAACTTTCACGGGGAACGTGCTACCCAGGGATGCGTGAAGGCTGAGTCCGAATTTGCGAGGTCGCACGTTTGTAGAGGAGATAACCCTAAAATTTCAGATTCTCAACTTTCGCGGTCCTCGAGATAATTTCTCCCGCTGAAACTTCCACGGGTCCGTAGGTGACACCCAAGAGCGTAGGAACACTGAATTTGAATTTGCGAGGTCGTACGTGGGTAGGGGGTCATTACTGCAGAATTTTATCTTCCTGGACTCCGTGGTTCCTGAGATAATAATTTACCCGCAAAAATTTTCACGAAGCCGTAGGTGATACCCGAGAGTGCGGGAAAGGATAATTTGAATAGGCAAGGTCGAGCGTGGGCAAGGGGTCCAATAGCCTAAAATTCCAGCTTCCTAGGCACAGTGATCCCCGAGATAATAATTTACCCATAAAAATTTTCACGGGGCTGTACATGTTACCCGCGGGAAGAGGAAAGCTGAATTTAGATTTTCCGAGTAGCGCATGCCCACAAAATTTCACCCTTCTAGCCTCCGTGGTTCCCAAGATAATTTTACCTCCCAAACTTTTCCGGGCCGTACGTATTACCCGCGAGTACGGGGAGGCTCAATTTGAATTTGAGGTGTCGTGCACGTGGATGGGGAATGTCCTCTGAAATTTTCAGCTTCCTAGCTTTTGTAGACGAGCTGAAAGTTGCGGACAAGTTGCTGCGGACACACACACACACAC